TGACCGATAACGTTTTTATTGCTGACATCTTACATATGAGTTGACCTATATGCCATAAAACAATCAGACTGCCTCGAACCTCAGAAAGTAGTCAAATAGCCACTTCCGGTTTAATTTCATTCCAATGTGGCTGCTGAACCAATTGACCAATGACAATTCTGAAAGTCTTATGCACCAGTTCACATTAGGGACTATCAGTATGGAGAATTCCGACCATTCCGTTCAGAAATTTTCTCGAACGAATTGACGAAAAATTTTACGGAAGAAAGATAGAAGAAGAAGTTGAAGAACGAAGAAACAACTGACGATAATAATAGGGGCCTATCCATTCGGGCTTGGGCATCTAATTAAAAAAATATTCATACTGACGCAAAGTTAAAGCTGCAACATGGACGAGTACATGTCATTTTTATTTTTGAAGTCTGATACAATAGTTTGATGAATACATTAGTCTTTGATTTACCATGACATGAAAAAGCTCTTATTGTAGTACATATCTGAGTATTCGTTCAATGAAACAATTAAATTTAGTAATACGCATGCGCATTGGTTGTTTTTGGTACGTATAATAACAATCACTGCACATGCGTATTAGTGGTTTTTATTTTCCATCTAACAAACACATTTTGTAGTGTGTTGAATGAATAAAATGTTAAATAGCAATTTATGTATTTCGGCAAACTTTCTCTCTTCTCTGACACCAGAGACTCCGGTGCATGCTGTAGCGGAAGGTCAACTAGAGGTCATGAGGGCGGCAAAGGAGGGGATGGTGGGAAACCGGGGAAAGCTGGAGACGGTGGTAAGTAATTCTTAGTTGGATGTGAGGCCAAGTTTAAATTTAAACACATATACGTTATACCAGAGATACATTACTTGGGGTTTGCAACGCGCATAGTACTGTATGGTGACATCATGCCAAGATCCCATTCAAGTCTCATCTCATAGATAGCGAGACTGATGCTACGACTTTCTGACATGACATAGGCAGTTTATAATAAAACAATAAAATATGCACTACCACGTTCATAGTGAAAAAATGTAATACATCGAAAATGTACAGAAAATGAAGTTATCGTAATGGGTCATATCGTGAGCAGCTATTTTGATCCACTTGGACATCCCAGTATCCTAGTTACCTCGGGCATGCGCATTTGCATTTTTCTGAGTTGGAACGCTTATGCGAGAGCGAGATTGAAACGGGATCTTGGTATCATGTCACCATAGTTGCAAATCCCAAGTAATGTACCTCTGGTTATACCCAGCTTCATGTCACTATAGGTCGCGCCCTCTTGCGACGAACTGCTTATGTGACGTCGGTACGTTTTTATGATGGGAATTGGGTTGCTGAGGTAAAACGAGTAACTTACGGAAGATAGAATAATAAAAGTATTTTATTATGGGTTTTGGGGCTAAAACGTTTCCACTTTAAAACTTTAGGGGAAATAACTTTATGTGTAGGGTTCATAATGGTCCTTAACAATGTTTTACACGCCTATCATTAAGTTTCGATCAAATCGTTTTTCGTCAATTCATAATTAAATACATAGCACGAAATCGGAAATATTTGATTATGAATAATATAACAATGTTTTTTTGCCGTATTCGTGATAATAAACTTCCTACAATAAATTCAATCATTGGCGCCATTGTATTTTTAAAATGACTGACACGATTAAATTCTATTTCATCCGTAAGGTCGTGGCGGCGACATTCAAGTACTGTTTCTGAACGAAACCTGGAAAGACTTGCGGTTGTTAAAAACGTCCATTACACCCTTGCTTAATGTGAGCGGCGGGGAGTCTGGAGCTCCGGGAAGTCCAGGTAAGCCAGGTCATGGAGGACCCGGCGGAATGGGAAGCCAGACCCGTTGTCGAACACATGGTTGGTGGTTCAGGAAGAAAAAAATGTGCGAAGGTCCAAATGACGACAGCGGCCCACGGGGTAAGTAATATATCGTACTTAGAGCACAGCAGTCGTTAAAACGGGGGAGTCGTCGCCCGCGCATGCGATAGGTGGCCATAGCGTGTCATTGATTAAAAGCAAGCGTTTTTACAGTGTGATGTTATCGTCGTTTGGAACCAGCGCGGGCGCAGGTATCAATCATGGCATAAACAGATAAAACATATTAAAACGGGAGGGACGTCACCTGCGCACGCGTGGGAATTGAGTCCCAAACGACGATAACAACACACGTTAAAAACGCAAAGTATTGTAATTTTAAATTTGCTAATTATAAATTTGTACTACCGATATAATTTTTTTCAAAACAGAAAAAATCTTAGTTGATTCAGACAAAAATCGTCCTATAACTGTCTTATAATTCCCCAGTAATTCGACAAAACAATGAGTATACCTATCATGTAATCACATACATACCTTAAAGTCAAATTGTGAGTAAAACCACAGTCCTTCCGTTTGTGTAACTTTGTCCCAAAAAAAAATCGTTCACAAATTTTGCTGTTCGAAATCTGACGCATCGTGTCTTCAATTTAAGTTGTGTGTCTTCACTACAACATATCCCGTCATGCATTGCTGTTTGAAATCTGTTTCGGGAGCGTACTAAATACAATGCAGTACATTGAATGTCGACTTTATAGTAATATAGTGCATTTTCGATCTTCGTACAGGGATTTGATGCGCGTGATTTGATGACACCCTAAGATGCTGAAAAATCAAACCGCAACCAAAGCCGAGTAACTGCTCGGTGATGTTCGGTTGTATATTCGCGGGGCAGATATCTTACGAATCTTGTAGCAGCTGTATATATTACAGCACTCAAAGGTTTCAAACAATATTTTGCCGACATTATAACTTTAATTACTGTGTCAAATAACTAAATATTGTAAACTACTCCAGTTTCTTAATATATTCTCGTTCACACTGATCATTGCTTAATAGGACAGACTGGCAAAACTGCACCGCCGCTTAAACCCGCGAAGAAAGGACCAGACGGCTTTGCAACGTGTCGAGCAATTCAAATGAACGAATTCTCAAAATATGTATCCAAGGAGCTCGTGCAAATAGCTTTCCGTGAGGGAAATAGGTACGTAGATTACGTGTGTATTGTTTTCACTGGCAACACATCATAAAATGGGCAGTACACATGGCTACATATAAATGGTATTGAAGGCGATTCTACTAGTTATTAAAACGCCGCTGGCTAAATCTTTTCATTCCCAAATTCCTAAATCTTTTCATGTTTGTTAAGTTTTGTAAATTCTCTCTAAAGAGCTCTCCATCACTGTCTTACTCTTTTTAATCATGATTGTAGATATTACAAGAACGGCGAGTTTGAGTCGGCCAGAGACGTATACATATGGGTCTACTTGACATCCAGAGAATCCAACGACACGGAGAATCAGCTGTGTGCAAGTCAGTCCGTAGTTTACCTTCGACAAATGGCACACGGTAAGTATAGTATTTCATTTGCTAGCACTGTTTCCCTGATTTATATATATATATATATATATATAACCATGGTACCATGGTACTTGGAACTGTTGACGCGATGACGGTAATGTAATACTATTGGGGGCAGTAGATCGTGGCCTGCGTGGCGTTCATTTGCTTCTAGGGTAAAGGATGTGAGTGTGACCTTTAGAGGTCATGCATAATACTATGAGGTTATTGAAAAGTATGCACGAAGACAGTACAACGGGAATATCGACCGACGCGCAAGGGGGGGGGGGTCGATGCGGCCGCGTAGATTTCAAAATTGTTATTGGGGTGCATGCCCCGGACCCCCTAATAAATCGCTCCTTGGGCGCGAGGTTGGTGAGTAGATCTCGCCCCTCCATGTAAAATGTTGTGCCGCCGCCTCTGTGATTGAACGAACTTCTTTGTATGTGATCCGGTCAAACCCCGGGGCGGCATTAGAGGACGCTTACGTGCGTAATCGTTTCATATTTGGAATTCGCATTTCCTAATATGGTAGGATGAAAATACTCCGTAAAATACCGCA